AGTAAATACTCACCTCACATTCTGGGGAGGATGCCTGAAAAGACAGCTGTTGTCAGAAGAGGGCAATGCACAACAAAAACATTTACTCTGGGAGAAAGCAGGGAATAATTACTTGTGTGTCGCTCGAAATGAAACAGTTGAACAGATTAGAGCGCCTCCTCCAGCGCCCATTAATCAAACACACTAGAATTAACTTTCAATTGACTTTCCTACCCTTCTACATAAAGTAGATGCCATGCCTGAGAAATGGCATGAGCAAGCAATCTCTAGTTCAAACACACTTTCTTATGTTTGTTTTTATTTATTCAAATGTACTAGACTTTCTGCCTCTTTTATTTTTTTATTAGAAAGGTTTTAAAACTTATGGTTGAATTCTAAGACATAGAATACTGGGAATGGAACCACACAAAGAATGAATGGAAATAAAATATGTAGTGTTTGCTGCAATTATACTACCTCTGCAATAAGCTTAAAAACTAAGAAGAAATAGTGAAGTTTAATTTTGCAGGGAGCATATTGTTTTTTTTTCAAGATTTCCATGAAAGTACCTTTTAAGCTTTTCTAATGGCCAACACGCTAATGGAAAAAGAATGCCAGTTAATGTCAATGAATTGGTTTCTTTCCAGACCACTCTCTTGTTTTATATATTTTATTGTCAATGTCTGTTTCACACAGACGTATTTTTGTAAAAAAAAAAGAAAAAAGGATGTGATCTGGCACTCTAGGTTCATCATACACATCTGCACCTATGCTGAGCATCTACGTATATACACTGGAAAAAATCAAAATCTAGACGAGTCATTTTTTTCTTAAAATAAGTGCATTTGCCCTTGGATTAAGGTAGTAAAAGAGACATCTTGCCAATGGAACAAGGCAATTTACACTTAGAATAAGAAAACAGAATAGCATTGTTTAATTTCAAGTGCATATTATCTAATTATCTTATTTATCAGAGTAAAAATACCCATTCCTTTGGCAAACTATCTCATTTACAGTACCTACTCAAATTAAGGGGAAATACACTTAATTTAAGTGTTGGGATCTGGAGCTGTACCACCTTCCTCCAGCAGAGTGCGCCGTGGGTCCTCCTGAGCTGAGCCTCCAACACACCTGTGGCCCATCTCATCATCAGAGGACCCACCAGTATATAAGCTGACTTCAGACCTTGCTTCAACGCCGCAGTGTTGATCTAGTTTGGTTAGCACACAGAGCCTAGTAACCTGAGAATCCTTGCTATCCCTTGAGAGAAAATATTCTAACTCTTCCTTGTTTTTGCCTCACAGGAATCCTGTCTCTTCATGAAGCTCTGGATGAGCTTAACCTGCCTAGCCTGCCCTCGTGAGCCAAACCTGAAGACTCTCCTCTGGATTCCATTGCTGCTCTTGGCTAAGAGCTGGAAACCAAAATCAAGGTCTGCCTTCAAAGTCAGAAGTAAGATGCTGAAGCAGCTATTGAACTCTGCTGATCAATCAGTCTCTGGATCCCACAGTAATCTCTCTCAAAGAGAAAACCGGACTCCTTCAAGGTATACTTCTGCAAACTCAAAGTCACTCATCTCATCTGAGCCAGAGCTAACTAAACTGTCTTCCCTGCAGACTCCAGTGAACCTGTCTCCTGACCAGAACCATTTCCAGTCACAATATTCATATCTGTTGTACTTCAATAAACCTTGTTAAACTTTTCATCAGCCTCCGTTGTGATCTGCATCTTTGGGCTTCTCTCTGAGAACCTATCATGACAGAACACTGCGGCCAAACACAAAGCCCAGCAGGCCACCTCCGTCGGAGGTTAGCGGAGCAAGACACTCAGATCCAAGGACAAGCTCAAGCCCTCCGTGAGTTACATACCCAGATTGAAACTCAAAATCAAGTGCTTCAAACTTTTGCAGGCTACATGAGCAGTGCTAATGCCACGTCGGCAGCACAACCTTTTCCGGGCCCAGTTCCGCCTCCGAGGTCACCGGTTGTGACGTCATCACCTGAGTTCCGCCCTAGTCTTCCTGAAAAGTTTTCAGGTAATCTTAAGGAATGTAAGGGTTTTTTGTTCCAATGTCGTCTAATTTTAGAGAATTCTCCTGGCAGTTTTCCTACAGATAGGAAGAAAAAAACTTTTATTTTGTCCCAACTAACTAGACAAGCCCTAGAGTGGGGGCAGGCAAGGTTTGCCTCTGAGGACAGCTTCAGTTGTACTTTCTCAGAATTTGTTTCTGAATTTTCCATGGTGTTTAATCAAGATTCTGATCAGACAATAGACTCTCGAGCTCTTCTTAATCTCAGACAAGGAAAATCCTCTGTAGCGGATTTTTCCATCAACTTCCGGGTCAAAGCCGCAGCTTCCGGATGGAATCAATGTGCTCTCAAAAGTGCATATTTCCAGGGTTAAATGAAGATATCAAAGATGAACTTGCAACTCTTGATGAACCAGCTAGTCTGGAGGATTTAATCCGCCTAACTATAAGGTTGGATAACAGACTTCGTGCCAGAAACAGCTCTAGACTAAAGAGTCATGGTTTTTCTGTATCAACCCCTGCATGTAATAATGCTTCTGTTTTTGTTGAGTCGTGGTCGACCTCATGTCACGAAACATGCCTTCGTTCTGCAGCTCCTGCTGTAAGGTCTCCTAGAGGTAGGGGGGAGATGGACGCTCCGGATCTTACTTCTGTCCCGTCCGAGTACCATGATCTGGCTCCTGTCTTCAGTAAGGTCAGTGCTATGTCCCTTCCACCTCACAGACCATATGACTGTGCTATTGAGCTATTACCAGGAGCTCCCCTTCCCAGCAGTAGACTTTACAATATTTCCAAACCAGAACGAGAAACCATGGAGAAATACATTAATGAGTCTCTAGCTGCTGGAATAATCCGTCCATCTTCTTCTCCGTTGGGTGCTGGTTTCTTTTTTGTGGGCAAAAAGGATGGTTCTCTTAGACCTTGTATAGACTACAGAGGCCTTAATCAAATAACTTAAAAATAAATACCCACTTCCGTTGCTAGCATCAGCCTTTGAACCTGTACAAGGGGCTACTGTTTTCACCAAGCTCGATTTAAGAAACGCATATCACCTCCTCAGGTTTAGAGAGGGTGATGAGTGGAAAACAGCCTTTAAAACCCCCTTGGGCCAGTTTGAATATCTGGTCATGCCTTTTGGTCTCACTAACGCTCCTGCATGTTTCCAAGCCCTCGTCAACGATGTCCTCAGAGACTTTTTGAATATCTTTGTGTTCGTTTACATTGACGACATTTTGATTTATTCTAAGAACCTTTCCGAGCATAAGAAGCATGTCCGCCTGGTCCTGCAAAGATTGTTGGAGAACAAACTTTTTGTTAAGGCCGAAAAATGCGAGTTTCATCAACCTTCAGTCTCCTTTTTAGGGTTTGTGCTCGAGGGCGGGCAGGTTAAACCATCTGAGGATAAAATAAAAGCTGTTTTGGATTGGCCAATACCTGAGAACCGCAAACAGCTGCAGAGATTCCTGGGTTTTGCCAACTTCTACCGTCGATTTATCAGGAATTATAGCCAAACAGCTCTACCACTCACAACTCTAACTTCAGTCAAAAAGACCTTCCAGTGGACCCCCGAGGCTCAAGGAGCCTTCGACAAACTTAAGACTTTGTTTTCCAGAGCTCCCGTGTTAATCCAACCTGATCCGGCCAAGCAATTCATTCTCGAGATGGACGCCTCTGACTCTGGTGTTGGTGCCGTGTTATCCCAGAAACTCGACTTAGATCAAAAGATTCACCCCTGTGCATTTTTCTCCCGTAGACTTGTCGTCCTATAATTCTCTTCTTGACGACTTAAAATTGAAGCTAAGTTTTATAAAAATTCAAAGTTCTTAAAAAGCAGAAAAAGTCTCAGACAAAGATCAAAAAATTCAGACAGATGGCAGCTGAGTCCGGGTCCAGTGTTTATTGCTAAACACTACATATTTACACAGAGCTGGTGAGCCGAAGCTGACAAATGGTGAAACCAGCTCCCTTTTATACATTTCTTTATCGGTGAAAAAACCCCCTTCAGAACATATTTCAGTCATTGGTAAAGGTCACATTGATATTTATCTGCAAAACACGGTGACATTCATATACACATCTCATTCTTGTGAGAGCACTCTCTCAGGCCATGAAAACATCTGGTGCATTCAAATCAGAAACTTATGACGGTTTAGTCAAAAACATTACAGCTCTTGCTTCAGGTCACGTCAGACGACCATACTGCTCCCCCTTCGTCTTCTCACCCTTTGTGGGATCATTACTGCTCCATGTGCTCTGAAAATAACACCTCCTTTGTATGGTCAGATTTTTGCTGATCTGGACTACCTTGGGATGTCAAATATTTCATTTTTATTGCGGGTGCTTTTCTTATCACTAAGGGGCCTCCACCCTGCGTTGTCCTGTAGACCTCACTCCCATTGGCGCCAGCTGCAACAGATACACACACTCACTCTGCTTTTCTCCTCTCTGGCCTTGAATGGCTCTGTTTTTCTCATTTGTGAAAACAACTTTAAACTTATAAAACATTAACTTTATTTTATCTTATGATTAGTGCAGATTAATACACAACATTCCCCCCTTTGATCCTAAAAGGATCAATTTACGTGATTATGCAGGTGATAACTAATCTAAAACACTTTAAATGTGAACTCACCCAAGTGACAAAAGGTTATATATATATATTGTGCACACTAAACTAAACGTGAGATTAAATACACACCATATAGTAGAAGTGAGTAATATAAGATGTGGTGGTGTCTAAGTAAATATTAAACTAATAAAATGCAGAAAACAGAATATATAAAAACAAAGAGGGATCCCCCTCTTGGCTCCCTTAAGAGGACCCGTCCTCGTTGCTTACTTTTTTTGTAGCAAGATTTTCTAATTCTGTTTTCTCAGCAGAGGCAAATACCAATGCCCAAGCAGCATCTTGTGTTACGAGGTCACTGCATTTATCCCCTACAGTGGTGGTATTTCACACCCATACATACATAAATACAAACAAAAAGCTTCATCAGGCCCGGACTATGCCAGGCAAACACATCTTCTAATGGTCAAAGGACCGTCATTACAACCAACATAGGAGTAACCATATGGCACTCTCCTGCACAGTAATTGTACTGTCACATAAAGTATACAATATGTTTAACAAAGGTATGCATAATCATCAATAATCAGCATTGTCCTTATATCCAGTTATGGCGTTGAAGTTGATATATTAATAATAATAATAGCCTCCATAATTCTGTCCATAATTCTGCCCTCCGTTCGGGCCCCCCTGGGTATAGGGAGCCATATGCTGCAGATCAGCGGTCAGCTGCATCACTTGCTCTTGTAGGTCGATAATGGTCTGCTGTGCATCTCGAAGTTGCACCACCTGCTCTTGTAAGTTGATAATGGTCTGCTGTGCATCCCGAAGTTGCTGCCTCAGTTCCAGATTGTCTCGGGTCAGCTGCCGATTCCCAGCCTTTACTTTGCGTTTGTACATGGTGCGGCGCATCCGTTCAAAGGACCGACGTGGCTCGGGGTGCGCCAGACCCTTCATGAATTGGGCATAAACTGATGTGGTCATAGAGGTGATTTCAGGCTTAAGGTCAGCGTTGGTATCATAGGACTCCAGCGGATGAGCCAAGAACTTTGCAACATGATGAGCTTCGGCAAGATCAAGCTTTATGTCATCTGCTATGACCACGAACATAGCCAGTACGCCTGGAATGGGTGGTGGTGGATAATTATATTGGTGGGGTGACGGTGGTCGTCGATCCTCGGAATTCTCAGGACTGGCAGGGGTGCTGGTTGGGCCGAAATCGATACTGAGGTTCCCCGGTGATGACGAGATGGACAGTGGCTTCCCAGTAGGTAATGGTGGTTGATCATCAGGCTGCCTGCTGGGTGTCATCATCGGTTGATCCTCAGGCTGCCTGCTGGGTGTCATCATAGGTTTGCTCCAACCCGAAGGTGCACTGCTTGGCCCCTCTGCAGGATCTAGTAGGTGCCTGGGAGGAAGATATGGGCATCCTACCCCTAGTGATGGGCCTAACGACGCCAGTGCAGCTCGTAAATTCATTTGGTTTTCTTCATATTCATCATAACTAGCCTCTGCCATGTTCAATAATCTACCTGTGGGGACATAGTATGGCAAATTTAGGCATCATCTGAAGGCATATTATCTCTTATATCTATGGATTATTCAGCATGCAAGTTGCTATATCTATGTGAGTAAGTATATAAGTCATTGTTATGCAAAATATTTATATATATACACTGTTATTATTAAAGAAATGCACGTACCTGGTGAGGGTGGAAGGTGATCATGGTTATGTTTTATATCTCTTGGTCCAATTGTATCTCTACAACTGGGAACTGACCAGTTACACTTACAACAAGTCTTGAGACCAGTCCCCGAACAAGGGGTATGATGCAACACACAACTATCAATATAATCAGTATTACTGCCCCTAGAATCATTCCTGCTGCCTCAAGATATTTTCCCCTTCCAAGCTTGTGAAACCAATCCCAGAATCCCTTCAGCTGAGTGTTCTGGGCAGTCGCCTATTTTACTTCCAGGAATAATCTGAAGGGCTGGTAATTTTTTAGCATTATAGCAGGCTATACAATCATCTTTAGGGCGCTTTTTGGCTTTGAACATTGCCTGGACAGAGTACTGAATCCATTGTTGGAACATATTGGTTTCCCAGTGTGCAGTCTTTAATTTGTCTAGATCTCTTTTCTGCCTTTTGTTTACCAATTTTACCATTCTATGCGCTTTCCCTACCGTCATTACCTGCTCTGTTAATGTGTTTTGGCATATGTTCATTTTGCATCTTACCTCAATGATCACCATCCCATCCTCACGGCAGTCCATGCTTTGTGGAACTCCAAGCCAATGTTTCCCCATTGAGTTACCTAAAATTTCTTCAGACATTACATAATCATATCCTTTGATTTGCACATGCATTAGTGATAAATTTTCTCCATCATTATTATTGATTACCCCTTGGTTAGTAGCTAGTGTTACCATTGCTAGTGCACATGTTTGTGTGTGACGCATTAAATGTGTGTGTGCACTGTTAGTATTAATTTTCATAAGATCCCCCCTTGTTAACCCACAAAGGGTTAACACAACAAGAAAGTTAATCAAAGTCTGAAGAAGGCGCATACGGGAGACGCCCAGACGGCGATGGGGTGGGCGGGACCGAGTGGATCGGCGGCCCACTTGCTTCGGAGGAGGAAGGGGAAAGGGAGGGGATGAGAGGGAAAGGTGCAGGTGAGGGATGTTAAGGGGACAGGACTCCACCAGCATCTGATGGGCCAGAAGAAAGAAGTTCGTCCAGTGCCTGAACGACGGATGGATCTGGGTGAGACCCAGAAGAAGTCTCAGTGGCAGAAGGATCATCATCATTGCCACCAGAATCAGAAGGTGGATGGGAAACATAAGAATGAACACTGTCATCCTCAGAGTCCCCTGACCCTGGCGATTGGCGAGCTGCCAAGCGGGCCGAACGTCTTTGGACGCCTGACGTTGAGGGGAGTGGGGATGCATCAGTGCCCGACACCGGTGCAACATCTAAAGTTTGTGAGCTAGTAGAGGGGTGCTGCGGAGGGAGACTTGTCGCTGCCCTGTCAGCATGCGCAGAGCCCGTCGGTCCTGGATCGAGTCCAGGTGGGTCTGGAGGCCGATGCCTGGTGCAGTGGTTTTTATGAAACCAGAAGGGCTTACCTTCGACTTTCAGGGCAGTGGGAGTGGTAAGCACAACTTTAAAGGGGCCTTCCCTACGAGGCTCGTTCCACTGACGTCTAAAGACTCGTATGAACACACTGTCACCAACTTGAACGTCCCTGACGTCCACTGGAATGTGTGTCTCGTCTCGGCTGTGAGCTGCTTTCACCTGTTGAAATATAAGCCTGTGAATGCGGGTTAAGGACCTGAGGTAGTCCCCCATTTCACGCTCAAGCTGTGCTAGGGAAATCTCTGCCAGCTGGGGTCCTCGAACCTGTGGGAGAGGCATTGGTCGACCTGTAAGCATTTCATGAGGAGTAAGATGGGTTATGCGGTTAGTTTGAGAACGCATTGCCATTAATGCAACAGGCAAGGCGTCCACCCAAGTCAAACGGTTGTTGCTGTCAGCTATTATCTTAGCAATCTTCGATTTCAGGATCCCGTTAGCTCGTTCCACGGATCCCTGTGACTGGGGATGATACACACAACCAAACTTTTGTTTTATGCACAACAGTTTAAACATTTGCTGGATCACCTGTGAAACAAAATGTGGTCCGTTATCAGATGATATTGTGTCAGGCATGCCAAATCTGGGAAAAACTTCTTTACACAAAAACCGTGCTGCTGCTTTGTGGTCATTATGAGCAGTGGGACATGCTTCTACCCATCTGCTAAACCTACAAACAACCACCAACATGTACCTCTTTCCCTGAACCCGAGTTATCATGTCTACGTAATCCATCATCAGATGGCGGAACGGACCGTCTGGCATAGGGATATGTGCTAAGGGTTGAGTAAACATTTTACGCACATTGTACTTAGGGCAATGTGGACATAAGGCCAGTTCTCTGTCTACCATAGGTGTCATATAAGGTGACCACCAAACTGCCTGTAACTTTTGAACAACTTGGGCTCGTGAACAATGATCAGGTCCATGCATTATTTTAATGGCTGTCGGTAATAAGGACAAAGGTAGTACAAAATGTCCTCGAGAACTACGCCACAATCCATCGTGGGGGTGTGTTAACCGAGCCGCCCCCCTTTGTACCCATAGGCGTTTTTCTGCTTCAGATACGTTATTTTGGGCTTCTATTAAGGAGGCCAAATTAGTAATGGGTTCACACTCAGCTACATGAACCATTGGTCCCTGCACTGCTGAACCTGTGGCTTCTTTAGCTGCCTCATCTGCTAAGTTATTTCCAATGGCAATAGGTGTTTTTGCTGTTTGATGAGCAGCACATTTTACAATAGCTAACGCAGATGGAAGTTGCATAGCTTTTATTAACTCTACTACTGCTTGCCCATGTGTCACTGGGGTGCCATCTGTTCTAACAAACCCTCGTTGTTTCCAGATGCTAGCGTTTATATGGCATACCCCGTACCCATAAGCACTGTCAGTATAGATTGTCACTCTTTTACCAGTAGCCAATTTACATGCAGCTGTTAATGCTTTTATCTCTGCCAATTGGGCAGAGCAAGGTTGATCTAGACTCATTGATTGTACCTTGGTAAAGGTCCCATCGGGGTTAAGTTGGACTATTCCATATCCAGCTCTATTCCCTGTGTCACCTCTGACGCATGATCCGTCTACGAACAGCGTCAGATCAGATGGGATTGGATGATTGTATAAGTCCTCCCTTACCTTCATGAAGGTGTCCGTCTCCTGGAGACAATCATGGGGCTCACCTTCTGTGGGCAATACCATTCTTGTGGCTGGGTTAATGGTGGTACAACGTTGTATTGTTAAATCAGGTCCTGAAAGCAGAACTTCATAACCTGTTCGACGAGCTTGGGTTATCACAAAGCGTGGGCTGGTGAGCAGTGCATGTAATTGATGTGATGTGTACAGAATAACAGGGTGGCCCATAGTAATAACTGAGGCCTTTTTGTAGGCGAAGGCTGCTGCTGCCAAACCCTGGTAGCAGGGAGGCAGACCTTCTTCGACACCATCTAATTTTGTGCTGTAATAAGAAATTGGCTGTTTACCTGTTGGGGTGTCTTGCATCAATACTGCACATGCATACCCTTGTCGCTCAGCCACATAGAGATGGAATGGTTTGCCATAATCTGGATTGGCCAGAGCAGGAGCAGTTTGGAGATCTTGTTTCAGCAGCTGGAACGCACCCTCTGCCTCATCTGTCCATTGTAATTGAGCCGACTGGTGTCCTTGACCTGCGGCTTTAATCATTGCTCTCAGTGGAGCCGTTTTGATGGCATAATCACACACCCACGGTCTGCTGTAACCTGCCATGCCAAGGAAAGACAACATGTGACCAACAGTCTGAGGTTTGGGCATTTGGGTTATGGCTTCCAGTTGGGACGGTGCAATACACCTCTTGTCCCCACTAAGTTGCCTGCCGAGATACTCCACTGTTTGCTGGCAGAATTGCAATTTTTGTTTACTTACTTTGTGTCCTCCTTCTGCCAAAGCAGTCAACACTGTAATGGAGTCTCTCTCACACTGTTCTTTAGAAACAGAACAAATCAGAATATCATCAACATACATCAACATTGTAGATGGTATGTCAAGGTGATTTAAGTCATTTGCCAGTACACGATTGAAAATTGATGGTGAGTGTACGAAACCCTGTGGTAATCGCGAATATGTATATTGTTGGCCTTTGTACGTAAATGCAAATAAATACTGGGAATCTGGATGGACCGGTACACTGAAGAATGCTGAACACAGATCAATCACAGTAAACCATTTGGTACCTGGAGGTATATTACTCAGTAGTGTGTGTGGGTCGGGTACTACTGGTATTTCTTCTGCTACAATAGCATTAATCAATCTTAGATCATGGACTAATCTATAGTCATTACTGTTGGGCTTTCTGATGGGAAAAATTGGGGTGTTACAGGGGCTTACTGTTGGTTTAAGAACTCCTGCTGTTTCTAATCCTGTAATGATAGGCTGTATTCCTTCTACTGCCTCTCGTTTAAGTGGGTACTGTCTTTGGAAGGGCAATTTAGCATTTGGTTTAATGGTGAATTTGATGGGGTCTGCTGATTTTACTAATCCTACATCTGTCTTACTTTTAGACCATACCTGCTCTGGGACTTGTTCTAATAGGGATTCATGTTCTGCCGCCACTGCCATTTGTCTTTTCCCAGGAACTTTAATGTGTTCTGCAATTACTTCATCAGCTTGTGAATACGAGATCTTGAAAAACAGTCCATCTTTTGACATGCTAATGCAGTCCCATGCTGTAGCAATCCATTCGGTGACTTGCTTGGCTTCTTGAACCATGGGTCCTAGATCATGTGACTCATACTCGTCTGCAATCAGTAATGTGACATGTGGTGCTGAGTTGGTAACCTGGAACCATTCTGCTACATCTTTATCAGGAAATGTGACAACAGCTGCAGCTCCTTGTGGTCCAACCACTATGTCAGCATACTGGATGACAGTTGTTTTGTTATTTATGTCTTCATCCCAGCTTTTCTCGTAGTCTTCATGTGTTTTGCCTTTGTCATAAAACATGGTACAATGGAGTGGAAGAAAA